AACTCACTCTAAAAAGAGAAACGCACAGACGTGCATACACGCACCTTTCATCTCTCCCTCTCTCTCGAATTGGCAATATTTGAGAAAAGGGTTTAGCGATTTATAATTATTGGAGGGACTAGCCCCCCTCAATGTCTACGGTGGTTATCGCCCTGATCAGACATGAAAATATGTTGTGGCACTATCGTGCAGTCTATGATGATATGACGTTAGTTAACAAATATTAGCCATTTTTTGCAAACATTTCTTTGAGTAACATGACCGTAAATATGAACTTACGATTGAATGTAACATAAAACAAATGATTACTTTTCGTTAAAATCTTTATTACAGTCGCGGTTCTATCGAAGATAATTCGATCTGTGATTGTCACACAATGAAATAATCTACATCGTCAAATTCCTGAGAATGAGAGCTTTCTTGTGATATATGACTTGACTTTTTTGTGAAAAATATCAAATACACATTCTTCGTAAAAATTATTCGCAATGGTTAGGCGGAAATTCGTGTGTGGGACGAATACATTTCTAAGCTTAAGTTTACTGCTTTTTGAATATAAAAACCAAAAGGAATGGTATTATTTGTAAAGAAGACACTCCAAGCTTTCAAATGAACCCATATATGGGCTGATACCATATAAGGAAGGCTATGTAAATGAAGCATAAACATTTTTAACGTCATTTTGGACCCGTATCTGGGTCCGCAGAGTTTAACTGGTTTTAATATTTGAATCGTCACACATTTGAATCGATTTTCGACTGGCTCACGGTTAGTTGTTACATCCCTAGTCAAGAGCATTGTGTGTTTTTTCTCTTTTTTTGTTTTGTTGTTTTATTAACATTAAAGGGATAATTCACCCAAAAATGAAAATTGTCATAATTTACTCGCTCTCAATTTGTTTGAAACATGAATGAGTTTCTTTCTTCTGTTGAACATTAAAGTTATTTTGAAGAATGTGGGTAACCAAACAGTTGCTGGTTCCCATTGACTTCCATAGTATTTTTTTTCCTACTATCAAAGTCAAAGGGGACCAGCAACTGTTTGGTTACCCACATTCTTCAAAATATCTACTTTTGTGTTCAGCACAAGAATTGGGACAATATGAGAGTGAGTAAATAATGACAGAATTGTAATTTTTTGGTAAACTATCCCTTTAATGACAAGTGGCAGCATGTTTAGTACAATTAGTCGGCTGTCACGTTAAGACCTGCACGCATCCGTTTTTCTCTCAACTGTTTACTTTCACTTTGGACATAACCAACTGTGTTTATATGTAAACCTTGTGTGTTTTTCACCTTTATTTATATAGTGCTTTATACAATACATATTGTGTCAAAGCAGCTTTACAGTGTTAAACAGGAAAACCATGTGCTGATAATGCAAAAGGAAAATAGAACAGTCAGTTTATCAGTTAAAGTCAGTTCATTGTTGATTCAGTGATATCATCGTCCAGCTCAGTTCAGTTCTCTTCCACAGTATTAGCACAATCAGACGTGAAAGATAACTTTGTCCAGTAATCAGGCGCTGTTTTACAGGCCTTTTAGAGTGTGTGCGCCTCAGGTGTATGTGCTCAGAAAAAACGCACATCAGAACAGCACGCAAATTAAATGTTTAAAGGGGTGGTTGATTATGATTTCCCTTTTTTAACTTTAGTTAGTGTGTAATGTTGCTGTTAGAGCATAAACAAGTCTGCAAAGTTACGACGCTCAAAGTTCAATGCAAAGGGAGATACTTTCTTTTAAAGAAATCGCTGTTTAATGACTACAAAAAAGGCTGGTAGGGACTACAACGAGCTTCTTCCCGGGTTTGTGACATCACTAACCCCAATGTTTGCATAAACCCTGCCCCCGGGAACATGCAACTATCCGTAATGGTAAGGGGGTGTGACGTTTCCGGACATCGTGCACTATAGGCGGTTAGCGAATCACAACACACTGGGCCAGCTAACCAATCTGAGCCCAATTGCATAGTTTTGAGAGAGGGGCTTCAAAGAACCAATAACTCAACAGACCGTTTTGACGAGAATGGAAACAGCGGTGTAGAATAAAGGTAAAATATGTGAAAATAATGTTTTGTTTTTTTTAATGAAGCATGAACACGTTACGCTGCATAAACACAAATCAAGCCTTCGAAAAAAGCTGATCAACCACCCCTTTAACCGGCAAGGCTTTAAAGCACATGAAAATAATGTAATTTTGTGATTGCAAATAAGTACAATGTCCCGTAAGTGTAACTCTAATGCTGAGTTAGTATTTGATATGAATGTATGTCGCGTTGTACATTATATTGAGACGGAGGCACCAGAACTGCAACTGATAGAATGTGCGCTGTAGCGCGATACTACGATATTTCTTCAAAAGCAGATCGTGAAGTCCATGATCAAAAATCGTCATATCGCACACCCCTAGTACATAACCATTATGACAAGTTAGTGATCTTTGTTTCCATGACAGTTGATTCTCCTTTATATACAGTAGGGGGCATTACTGTACCTGTTGTGAATTCTGCACTTGTTCCTCCCTCCTTAATTCCGGGTTCTGTCTGCCTCTATAGGTATGGAGCGAGGTGAACCAGGCTGTTCTAGACTATGAGAACAGGGAATCTACTCCAAAATTAGCAAAGCTGCTGAAGCTTTTACTGTGGGCTCAAAACGAACTGGACCAGAAAAAAGTGAAATACTCCAGAATGACAGACCTCAGCAAGGGCACGATTGAGGACCCCAAGTAGAGACTGTAATCCACATGGACACATTTGAATATGTTTGTCTTATTTATGAACAGTCAGTGACTGGATAGCAAATATAAATCTATATATGTTTTTTTCTTGATGCCTCTATAAAAAGTAACTTAATCAACAGTATATGATTTATTTCAAAACTATACTGATTGAAACCCTTAAACCTACATTTTTACTTTAATCTACCATTTACTATGCTGGTAGCCTATTTTCTGAAGAACATGGAATATTCCTATGATACTGTTTTTGCTAATTTTCAGTCTGTCATATATGTGTTTTGTGATTTTATTTTATTTTATTCCAACCTCTTCACTGGTTTCACATACAGTAGTATGTCCTCATGCTAGGCTGTTTTTAGGGAAATATCAGCTCCTGGATGGGAAGAAAAAGACTGATATAATATAACTAATCTTTATCGTGGATCCAACAACTTAATTTTTTATTTATGAGAAGCTACAGATGCTGGTAATGTGGAGTAAACAATGTTGAGTTTTAGACCTTCATTATATAAGCTATTTTAATTACAAAACAAATATTGTCATTACAGACTTAAAGCCTTATGTTTATGATTTTTCTCATTTTTGTTCACATTTTGTACTGCCTGTTTGGGATAAAGTTTATTTCACAGTAGGTTTTGTTTACTGGAGTTTTTTTTTGTAAAGCTGCTTCTCCAGATTTCATAGCGATCACAGAGATTTAATACAGAATGATGTTGCAAGATTACACGTTTTCCTGCTGCGGTGTTGCGTCACCAATTGTACAAAAATTGCTACATTCCTACCTATTAATCACCTTCAATCCTTAAAAATAAATGCAGACCAGGACGAGTTGCTCTTCAAACATTTAATGTAGGTGTGGCGGCGTGTAGGTGTGTTTCCGCCTCCTATTTGTTACTGCTCGCCCTATAAATGCAGTAGTAAACTTTCCTCTTCGGCACAGAACCGGCTCTCAGTGTCTGGTTTTTACTCAGTTGGATTTAATGGCAGCTGAGCAAGAGTCGGACCGCTTCAAACCACCTGTGGACTCTGTGAAAACACCTTTCGGAAATGTGTGTGATACGTCAGGGTTAAAGATAACGCAAATTAACGACAAGACAATAGTATGGCCAAGGTATGAGGAAACTTGTTTATTAAATGAGATTAAAAACATTGCTAAATTTCATAGTGTATTTGTGCATCAGCTGCATTAACAATAGTTTCTGTTGTGAACAACACAGGAGCGAGTTAATCATTCTCCTATAATCAGCGGTAGTTGTCAATGGGCAGTGAAATTCACATCGCTGTCCTCCATCCACCTTTCTTTAGTTTCGCTTCCTGGCAATAGTGGCATAGAAATCGTCTACTTTGTATCTTCGTTCCTTGATAGTTATACATACACACCATTGCACTGGTAATTGGTTAGCCTACTGATGCCTCCATGCGACTGTATTTACTGATTGTGTATTTACTGTCTGCTGACTAATCAAATTCTGAGGTTACAGAATGGCTGTTTTAAAACACTCTGCTCAGATACCATGGTACATGAATATAGGCATTCAACAGGCAGTTTCGCTTCCTGGCAATAGATGCATCATAAATTTAAATTATGAAAAAAAGTTGAAAATGTGGCATAAAAGTCATAATGTCGTCATAAAAAGTGACATAGAAAGTCATAATTATGTTAAAATTATGACAAAAAAATATAATTGTAAGCATGTATAATGTCAATTTCGACTGTATGTCATGAATACAAATTTTATATAAATTTTTATCAACTTTTTATCTCAATTATGACTTAGTATGTCATCATTTCAATTTTGAATAATTTCAATTTTGACTGGCATAATTTTGACTTTCTGTGTCATAATGATGACCTTAATGCATACCTGCCAGCCCATCAGAATCAAGAATTCCAACAGACTATGGAATAATATAATTTAAACTATTTATCTTAATTATGACTTAGTATGTGATAATTTAATGTGATAATCTCTTTATGTTTCATAATTATAACATTAATCTGATAATTTTTATCTCATTGGGGGCAGTCGTGGCCTAATGGTTAGAGAGTCGCACTTGTAACCCAAAGGTCGCGTAATATGATTTATATCCTAATATTGACTTTTTATCGCATAATTATAGTATCTCATCATTGTGACTTAGTATTTTAGTACTTTTTTGTCATACTTATGATTTTTTTGTTACGAAAGCATTTTTTTTCTTATGTGGCAGAAATGGGTTTCCATGGCCCCTTAAAGGCAAAAAGTAATTCAAAGTGAGCATAATTTTTATTGTATATCACGGAGTAATTCTCAGAAGGACATGATTGTGAGTTTGTGTTTTTAGGGGTTCACTACCCTTCTCTTGTCTGTATCTGTGCTCAGCGTGTGGTGGAGGGAGAGAGAGGTTTTTTGATGAGCACACTGGCCTGTGGTTGCTACCTAGGGTAAGAATAATACCCAGCTAAGAATAATACCAAGTTTTCCCAATCATTCTATTTTTATTCATATTTTTATTTATTTATTTGAAGTAAGAAATAAAACTGATTCACCCTTTTATGCAAGCACCTCTGGAATTACATCCCTTAATGTAGTGTTCCACACTATTCATGATTTTGTAAGTGAGGTGTCTTTCTCTCTTAGGATGCTGCTGGTTGGAGGTGTGGGTTCCCTGATGATGGACTGGTTTGGATGGGGGAGTGTGTTTTATGGAGCTGGTCTCCTTGCTGTTTGCTGGACCTGTTGTGTATGGAAATGTCTTCTGCAAGGCAATTAAAATGTACTTATCTTTATACGATCCTTTACATGTTTAATTTAAGTAGCATTGTTCTTGAGATTTTGTGCTCTTTCTTGATTGAGTGCTGTTTTATTGCTCTGAAGGCCAGTATTTGTATAATTAAGTCTCCTAGAGAAGTCGCAGTGAATCAGAAACAATCAGGGTTGGCTTCAGTATTTGTGTTTGCCATCGCAACTGTGTGGATAAAATAATTGGATTTATTTTTATTTATTATTTTTTTTGCCAGTGTTATTTTACATCACCCCATTTTAAAAAATCTGACTCACCATGCAGCACCACGGAATAAGAGATTCCTGTACTGAGGTCCCTGCTATATCTTAATCATCTCACGCTGGTATTCAGAAATCGTGTTTATATCCCTACAGAGTTTGTTTGTTTGTCACAGGTCCAGTTTTCTCCCTCGACTCACTGTGGAGCCGTAGTTCTGCTTCTGAATCCTCCAGAATCAATTGGCTGTATCTCCTCAGAGAGCCTAGTGTCTGGTTAGGTTCAAAACATTTTCATGTCCCTCATTTTACTCTCTATTTTCACTCATTTCATCGTCATGTTTGGTTTTCCATTTTGAGATTTGTCATTTTCCCTCACAATTTCCAATTTTTAGGACATTCTTTCTCTTATAGAATGTATGTTGATTTTACAAACTCAAATAAACTTAAACCTTCAATCTTTTAAAAGATGTGTGAGTATTAATGCACAGTTGCTTACTGCATGTGTGTGTGTATTTTAGGGCTATGATCATTGCTCATCTCTGCTTTAGTAGCACGTATTACACCCTCATGTCATGGCTACCAACATTCTTCAAATGTTTCCTCATGCCAAGGTACCTCAGCCATCGCACATTAATTGACTTCAATGGTTATTTCTCTTGTTATTTGTTAATATGTTAGTTACAATGTCTAACTCTATATTAATAAATGAAATGTTCAATCATAAGATGGTGAATGAGTTTTTGTGCACTCAAACAGGCTAGAGGAAGTTCGTGAGGTTTTGATGGGTTTTTTTGCTGGTTGTTTGATGTTGTCATTTGTTAAAGCATTCTCTATTTTGTTTGATGACAGGATTGGGTGTTTAATGTGATCCCCTGGTTTGTGGCATTGCCCACTTCACTGTTTGGAGGCTCTATCTCTGATCATCTCATTAGGCAAGGTGAACAAATCCAACTCACTCTGATGGGAATTCATAACTATTTTGTTTTCGCGAATTGGTGGGTAATTTGTATGAATTTCTGCATTTCATTTGTACATTTTCATACAATCTGCTTATTCCACACTGACAATTAGGTTTAGGGATGAACCTTCTTGCTTACTTTTTCTACCCCCCCCTCCCTTGATGCTTCTGTGAATAATCATAACAAAATATCTTGCCGTAAATAGTCACATTTATATTTATCTTTATGTCAGGCTGCGGGACAGCATCTGTAAGGAAACTGATGCAGGTAACAAAACATAAGCTATGAACTTTACTCTGCCCTGATATTCTGTACAATTACATTAACATAAGAATTCATATAATGCATCAAAATAACAATTACATGTATGCAGACTACAGTCCACTGGACATTAATATACTTGTAGAAGGAGTATTTAAATAGTTTAGTCACAGTACTTTTTGATAGGTCAGTGTACACATTCTGAATTCTATTTGACAATTAGAAAAATTTAAATAGTGAAGGTGATCTATTTTTAATCTGAAAATTTTGACATAAAAATAATAATTTTGACAAATTAAAACTGAAAACATAATTATAAATATATGACAAAATAATTATGACAATGATAACTGACTTTTAATTTCATAACTCGCTGTCAGACGTATTGTCAATTTTGACTTTATATGACAATAATTTACTTTCATATCATAATTTAGACTTTATCTCATAATTATGATTTAGTATGTAATAGTTTTGACCTTTTCTTGTAATAATTTAGAATTTTATCTCATAATTACAACTCTTATTTTATAATCTGGACTTTTCATCTCATAATTAATACGTAGTATGTCCGAAATTTGACTTTTATCTTAGAAGTATGACTTACTCATTTCAAATGTTTGTCGTAATTTACACTTGATCTCATAATTATAACTTTTATCTCATAACTTTAACATACTTAGTATGTCATAATTTAAACTTTTTCTCATAATTTAGACTATGCGGCAAAATGTTATAAGTTCACATTCAAGTCCTGTGCAGTTACTTATATCTAACATCTCACCACATTTGTACTGTTTAATTCCTGTTTATATATTGCTCTTCTTCTTTCCCCATATCTTATTCTCTTTGTACTGTATTTCACAGGTTTGCTGTTGGTATACTTGTCTGGCTACATGATTGAGATCACAGGTTCCTGGGTGAATGTGTTCTCAATCCTGGCTCTGGTGAACGTCATTGGTGTCACCGTATTCATAGCGCTGGGTGAAGCATAGCGAGTTGATCAGCTGGATCAGCCTCAGATCATCTCAACATCATGTTGAAAACAAATTTTTCCTTTCAGACATATTGGGGTTTCTTTCATTTGTCATTTGTAACAAATGGATTGAAACTCCTCAAAACTTGTATTTTATATAATGTTTTAGAGTGTATATATTTATTAATTTAAATGTGTATTAGCAGGGTTGGTTGAAAATTATGTAATGAAACATGTTTTATGTTTTGTATAACAAATATTTATCTAAAATGTAAAGTATATGAAACAGTAGGACAATTGTCATTCAACTAATATGATTAGAATAATAAAACTGTCTCGGTCTTAAGTGTTTCTGATCAGTGATCAATGAGCTCTTGTGTAGCCTCCAAATTATTAGATGCAAGTTCTTTCTCTCACCAGAAGGTGGCGACAGAGGGCAGTTGGAGCCGCATGAAAAATCACAAATCAATATGAAACATAAAGGGTAATTACAAACAGAAAACCTAAAATTAGTTAATTACCATTCTTTAAACACACATAACATTAGGTAATATTAAGGTTACTATTTTGTTTTCTTGGCAATATCCTCTCGATGACAGTGTAAGACCCTTTTCATCCAGTGAAACGGGCCTAGGTCTACAGGGGGTGATGCGCACGTCGTTGTGGTGATGTCACGGGTGGGCGGAGCCGAGCGATATCTGCTGCATCTGGTACACTTACGTTATCGCGCGGTTCCCGGGGATGCAACCACAAATGTAACATCGGTTCCTTTAACGCACTGAAATTAAATCACGACGTCGGGGCCGACAAAACGGTAAGCGGGGCATGCGTTGAAACCACGGCAAAAAAAAAAATGTGCCTGCTCTCCTGATTTATCATGGGCTTGGGCGAATTGGTTTTATGTGGTGTAACGGGAGCGCGAGCCAACAGGCCAGAGAATATGGATGCTGGAGCGCAAAGCTAACCAAAGCACCCGGGCCCTTCCTGGTGATGCAGAAGCGAAGAAAGTCAGAGATTAACTGTAAAACCTTTCCTTCTGGTGAAGTAATCTACTGCAGTAACTGACACAGTAGATCGCAATCTGCATTTTGAAGGGCAGACAAAAATTTCCGTTTGTTGCTCAGATTCGCATTAGCAAACCGCCCCTCCTCAGCTTTATAATATGAATGAATGAATCGTGTGTGTATTTTCTCTTGTTGACATATAGAGATAGAGACGCCGTAGTGCGGACACACAGTGCGACATTTCGTGTTATAAAAACGAGCGCTCTTTCATGCAGACAGAATAGCGCAGCTGCGTGTCGATCTGTAAACGGTAGGGATGGGAATCGTGCGGAATTTAACGATTTCGATTCCGGCTCCTTACCCGGGGGTCCTGTTGCCAAGTAATAAAATAATTTAAGATTTCAATAGAACAGATATAGTCGTGTTTACACATTTTAATCACATTTCACAGACTTTTATGCAGTGGAATGATTTCACAGAATTAAATAAATGCAGTGGAATGATTGGCCCTAAACATTTTTTAAAACTGGTAACATATACAGTTGATTTATTTTATAAAATACTACTAAACAGCACGTTTCCGTTTGAACAACCAGTTATTCAGATGTAAGTTTCAGTCTTTCGTTTGAGAATCGCACTATACTGGTCTCGCTAGCCTATATGTTTTGGAGCGAGTGAATAAAAGAACCAACTCAAAAGAGTCATTCGTCCAGGAATCGATTGAGTCGGTTCTTTTAAAGAATATAACAATGCGCGTTTACGAACAGCTAACGAAACTCTTCCTATAATTCCAGTTTACTGGCTTTGTTGCAAAAGTCTTGTGAGCTGTCAACCCAGACACCATGTTGGGGATCATGGGTGGGTCTGTTTGAAAGTGTCATGGAACGACGTGAAGCTGAATGCAGCCAAGCCATTTCTTCAGCTCGAGAATCCTCACGATGCTTCTGGAAAATGTGCATCCATAACACGCAACATTTGTAATACTAAGGATTTTTATCATAATTTGATCCTATATAGATGCTTATCATTAACGCTTACAGTGAACAGCGTATATGACATAAAAACCCAAGTTCACAACAGAGTTTGGTGTTTACGGATCAATTATAAATGATGCACAATGCTACATTTAGATTTTTCAAACTAACGTCACACACACAGATGCTCTAATATCTTCTTTGAGGAGTCTCACTCTCTTCCTCAGAAGCCCTGAATGCTAGTCTGAATTATTGGGGTCTGGCAGTGCTGAGTAAACAATCTGAGGTACTACAGTCAGCTGAGGAAAGCTTATTGTGGTGCACAAGATTGATTTGACAAACCCAGGCCTCTCCAGACATGATGAGACAAGCAAGCACATGGAGAGACAGATTAACACTTGCTTTATTCTACTGATATGAAACTGTGTCAGTCTTTGTATTTCATGTTCTCTGGTACACGATAGTACGGCTGAAATCCAGTCTAGACATGACAATATGGATTTGATTGATTCACAAGGTGACACTTGTAAAAAATCTGTCATCACCCTGTTAGGTTGTGAATATGGCATCTTCTGGAAACTGAACCCTGTGATAACCTGTGGTATTGATTTCTCTTTCTGGGGATCAACACGAAAGAATCAGCTGATAGGAAAAGTGTGAGTCAGCTGGTGAATCATGAGTACTGCTTATATGATCACTAGAGAGTGCTAGTTATGTCATCATTACAGTAGTAAAGGATTTGTTGAAAATAACTATTAGTGTGCAGTCAGGCAAGTTGTCATTAGAAACATCTTTGTGATACTGTTCTTGTGCCAACAGCCTGAACATCATGCTATGACAGATAAACAGAAGCAGCATGATATTCATTGTTATTAGGGCCCTATAAAACCTTTATCCCGTCTTTAAAAGATCCAGCTGATCTGTTAAGTCTCTACGTTTAAGTACTGATCTGAAATCCAATTAAACTACTAATTATCTTGAGTGGTTTTAGAGTTTAAACCCCAAACTATAATCTGGAGTATATCGGACATGTTCTCTCTGCATGTCTGCTGTTCATCTGATAATGCGTTTTCTGTGTCCTCTGGGGTTTTAAAGGCAAATTTATAATCAGTACATATTTATCAACTCCAAGGGTTGATAAACGTTGATGAGAGCAGAAACTGAATGAGATTTTGTTGGTTAGTTTTAATCAGAACAGCAAATTACTTCGAAGTGGAAAAGCTCACCGCTTTTGAATATCTGTTTTCTGCTCAAATCATAGATCTGTGAAATTCAGTTCAAGCTGTTTAAATGTTTACTTAAATGTTTTATGAAATAAAACTGTACTTCAGTTTGAGAGTATTCAAACTTTATTCAAATGTATTTTTTATATATATTAGATACTATTATAAATATAATGTTCAAAAAATAACTTAAAAGCATTTGATTTAATTCTAATTGCCACAGTGACATTCCTGATTGAACGTTTTCAGCGTTGCCTTCTGTGAAAATGCCATTATCTGTGTTGAAGAGTAGACATGTTAGTTGTATAGTTGAAGCAGTCTGCTATCATTCATTATTGAGATTTGACAGCAGCATCTTAACTAAAGCAAAACTGCTCTCTAATATTTTGAACAAAGGACTTTATGCAGTGCAAGGAGAGACTTTCTACATATGCCATGCCATCTGATTTCAATTAGACCCCAGATTGGCCAAACTACATGAAACACTACTGCACGCCACACTGAATGTTAAATTAGTCACACTGTAGAATATGGATTATATAATAAACAAAGAGAACTTAAGTAAACTTATGGTGACTAAACCAAAGCCTGATAAAAAGAGAGAGTGCAAGAAAAGACTTTAGCAAATAACGAGGATCCATGATTACTTTTGATTTATAGTGATGAAGATTATGATGAAGGTCGTTTGTCATTAGGCCAGTGTCCTTGTTTGGAAATATTGCATCATGACGTTCCCTGTTGTTCAAATGAAGTGCTTCAATATTCATGCTTTGTATTTTGAAGAGTTTTGTAATATTGCCATGCAGCATGTTGTGTGTTTGTGTGTGTTCAGATTGTTGAGGACCTGATTTGCCATGGCTGAGCAGCAGAGGCAGCGCACTCTCTCCACCTCTGGAGAATCACTCTATCATGTGCTCAGTGTCGACAAACTGGCCACTGTCGATGACATCAAGAAGTCATACAGGTGAGTCTGAGAAGCTCTGTCCTTTCCTCAGCATCCCTGTTCAGCATTCTGCTCTGCTTCTTTTCACTTTTACTGGCTGGAGTCTTCATCAGATGTTTATAGGCTAAATGCAGCACACAGCAATGTGGAACCCTGCAGCTCAATAAAACTAAGTGCATTCAGGGGCCATTTGCCATGCACAGTTTTAGCTACCCTAGGACTACACGAAAGTAATGGATCTCATTATGAAGTGTTTTTTAAAGTGATATCACAGTGTGAGATTTTCATGGTACAGTAACCTGGAAATATCACAGCATTGCTATCATTGTATTATGCATTAATGATATTTCATGACTCTCAATGCCAGTTTTATTTTTGGTATATTTTATATATAAAAAAAAAATATATTAATAATATTGTCATGCTAAACACATTTTACTGTATATTTAAAAAATGTGATATTATTGAAAATATCAACTGTGTACATTAAATTTAATTGCATTTAAAAAAAATAGTTTTCATGATTTTTTTTTTTCAATTTAGTAAAAATTGCTTCACTAATAAAGAACAAATATTAAATTGTTGTTCTCATTTATTTTATTTTTCAAATTTATTAGAATTTTTTTTTTTTTTGTGACATTGACAGGTCTTTTGGGCTGCATCCACATCAGATATATTGATAGAAATAAAAACACTCCAGTATGCCTGGTTGGTTTGAGAGGTGTCCAAATTTGTGAAATCAGAAACCCATCTTCATATTTTTGTTTCAATGTTACACCAAATTAATAATTTGTTCACGATTAGTTTAGGATATTGAAATTAAACAAAAAAGTAATTCTTATTTATTTTATTTTTTATTTTATTAGTATTATTTATTTTGCAACAGTCTATCAGAGTCCATTCCAATAGGATGTATTGATACAAGGGGTTGAACGACTTCTGATTTTTTGAAGTCGACTTTTATGTGATGAAAGTCGAGTCGAAGTCGACTAGTCGCTGATGAAGTCATTAATGAACAAATAAGTCTGGAGCTGTGACAAACACATGGCAGAGCATTGAAGTCGACTAGTCGATTAGTCGGTGCAACCCCTAACTGATACAAATAATGAAAAAATAATAATAGTATGTCCAAATACCAAAATCTGAAAGCATTTAATGTAGTTTAAGTGCCCTTTTTATCTTTTAAAGGAAATTGGCATTGAAATATCACCCTGACAAGAATCCTGACAACCCTGAGGCAGCTGATAAGTTTAAAGAGATAAACAATGCCCATGCCATTCTTAACGACCCAACAAAGAGAAACATCTATGACAAGTATGGCTCTCTGGGACTGTATGTGGCTGAACAGTTTGGTGAAGAGAACGTCAACACTTACTTTGTCCTGTCCAGCTGGTGGGCCAAGGTAAGACTGTGTTTCTGGCTGGATTTATACGTTTTAATGTAAGGTTTGAGGATTAAAATGATTTATTGCTGTGATGCAAAGCTGAATTTTCATTACTCATTACTCCAGTGTCACACGATCCTTCAGAAATCATTCGAATATGCTGATTTGGTGTTGAAGAAATATTTATTCTTATCAATGTTTAAAACAATTGTGTTGCTTAATATTTCTGTAAAAACTTTGATACATGTTTTTCAGGATTTATTGATGAATAGAGTTCAAAATAACAGCATTTATTTGAAATAGAAATGTCTTTACTGTCACATTTGATCAATAATTAATGATTAATTAATGAATAATTAATGCATTCTTCCTAAATAAAAGTATCAATTTTTTCATAAAAGAAAAAAAAAATCTTACTTACCCCTAACTTTTAGATAGTAATTTATTTTTTAAAGGTGGGGTAAGTGATTTCTGGTAGCCAATGTTGCTATTTCAAATCACCAAAACAAACACGCCCCTATCCCAAAAGGGTCTCGCCCCTATTTTGATAGCGCCGCCCCACACATGCGTACGCAACCCAGGCAACAATTAGTTCTGTGAAACAAAGCAAAACCAATGTTACACCGTGTCTACACCGGATGCCAGCGGCGTGGCGGGACAAAATACTATAGAACTCATTATAATCAGTGATGCTGTCTACACTGGATGCGGCACGGCACGACAAATCCCCAACAGTAAACTGCTGCTGCGTTCTATTTATGACGTATTGACACAAATTTCAAATGATTTTCAACGGTCGCTTTGTCGTGTCCAGTGTACTAGACAGACTTTAGCTGTTGCGGCGCAGACACGGTGTTACTCACCTATTGAGAAGAAACAAACCAACCTCGGCGTCCAATCGCAGGTCTTCCGCTCCTTGAGTTCTCTCCAGTGCTGGAAAGCTGATCCGATATTTACACGGGTCCTACTTCTTGCCTTATTGTAAGCCTTCTTTTGTTCCGCAGACGTTTTCCTCTTTTGTTTTTTATCCGTCATCTCTATCTTTCTGTCGCTCGGCTCGGCTAATGTCCATCCTGTGCACTGAGCGCTCTCTCCTCCACATCATGAGTAGACACGCCCCTTACTGCTGATTGGCTACAAGTTTGTTTTGGTATTCGGCCAGATTCAGTTTTCTTCAGCGTTTTTGAAAAAATACATACCCCACCTTTAACTCTAATTTGTTGTGTTGCTCTCTGTCTCCCCCTACAGGCTCTGTTTATTTTCTGTGGCCTGGCTACAGGCTGCTACTTCTGCTGTTGCCTGTGCTGTTGTTGTAACTGCTGCTGTGGGAAGTGTAAACCACGGCCACCTGAGGGACAGGAACAGGAATTCTATGTCTCCCCTGAAGACTTAGAGGCCCAACTGCAGTCTGATGAGAGAGGTTAGATGTGTGTTACATGCCCATAACATGCCACCTTTAAACAGCTATCCCTATTGTCCTCCGGATTCTTTATGTTTAAACCATTATGTCCTGTTAAAATCTTTCTGTAGAGGCAGGTGGAGGTGAGCCCATCGTGATGCAGCCCACGTCTGCCACAGAAACCACCCAGCTAACGTCTGACGGTTACCATACTACTTACCACACTGACACCGGCTTCAATTAAATGCCCCACTCTCTTCACCTCCACCCTGGGGATTGTCTCTCACCACTCTGCGTCATCTCCCCAAGAGGAAAAAAAAAATGAATGGAAAGAATCCTTCAACTACAATTAAAAAAGCCTGTTTTTGAGAGGAGGAAAGCCGAAAGCTGAATTCTTTAGCGTATCCTGTCCCTTATTCATGCACCACTTCCATCACCCACACAAGAGTTGCTCACATTCGCCTCACCGTACCGTAGTTTATAAAACGAGCTTAAGAAAAAAGATTAAAAAAAGATCCTGTTGTTGACCCTGATCTCTTTGTTGCCTTTGACCTCCAATCTTGCCTTCCACTCGTTCCCTTGCTCCTCCAGCCAGATTTGCTCGTCGTCCTGTGGCATGCACTGTTCCTTGACTTCGTTTTTGGTATATTTATTGACATGAAATGTTTGTTCCCATTTATAAGTACTTGAGTGTGGTTTAAATTTGACTCTGTGAACTTGCCATAGGTGTTGGAAGACTAGTGCGACTGCGCTGAGAAACAGCAGGAATATATTGCATTTTTAAAATCTCAAATATTCTGTTCGCATACCTCACCAATATTCCTGGTTTGAATCTTCCGTGTCCCTGTAGGCAATTTGATCTGCTTTGTGTCATGAAATTGAGTTCAGTTTTGAAATTAACAGCAACATTCAACGTTAATTGGGTTCTTTGGATTATTTTGCTTTGTTTATCCATAAGTAGTGTTGTTTTTTGTTTTATTCGAGCTTTTTCAGAGAGAGATACAAATGATGCAATTTCTAATATTTCATTCCTTCCTAGTATTTTGCTCATTTACATCTGGGTGTTGGTGTTCCTGTCTTATTCTGAGAACCATTTGTAACAAGCTGAGCCAAACTTAGGACTCTTCCCTGTATATGGAATGGATTTAACTGTCATCTCTGTGTAGTGTGTAGGTTCGTTGATGTGCGATAACATGGGCTCTTGGCTTTGGTCTTAGTGTTAAGCTCAGTTTGGCCCAGTTGTGTCTCTTTTCTCTCATCAAAAGAGAATTGTGAACACAATCTAACATAAACTCCCATAGTGTCATATCACAGTGAGTGTGTACGTAAGGTGGAAACTATAACAAATGAGACATTTTTATATGGATATACAATCTATACACATCATGTGTATGTACAATATATATATATTTTGGTCATTTTTATATTTTAGTTGTTGCCGCATATAGTTATTAAGATAACTATTATTGGTGTCTGTGGTAATGGCCTCTTGTGGTCACTTGAGTCTCTCTATGCCAAGATATGCTGTCTATTGTGAGAGAAATGCTTTTATTTTAAAGACATTCATTCCTAAGCGGTAGCCATGTATGATGTTTGTTCCATCAATTTATTTATTGAAGTGGCAAAGTTTTTTTTTAACACTACAAGCATCTGGATACATGTTTAAAGTCCAGTCTCTCAAAGCCTGAAAGGACAAAATATATATATTATACCTAAATAAAATGAAGCCTGTTTTTAGGACATTTCTGTAATGTGTTTCAATTACAGTAGTGGTCATGGGATTGTTCTCTGCAGTATAAGGATAGAGAGAAATATTCTTAATTGTCATGAGAATAATGCTAAAATCTTAATTGTCTTAAAAAATAGGCTTTTTCACAATGAAGCAAATGGAAGACTATGTGAGAGATTTTTTTCTTGGCAGTTTTTGTTAAATTGCAAGTTCGTCAACAAACTTGAAATCCTTGATGTCCTGAAGATTATTTGAGCAGCTAAGGTTTGATGCTACCTGCAAACACTAGCATTTATTTGATTATGTTTCTCCTCTGAGCAGCCTCAGAAATGTGGCATTATCCCTCAGAAGATTAAACTAAACCGTTAAACTATTTTTGTGTCATATAGCCTAGTTATGTAATAGGATCCTGAAACTGCATTGTGTTGCTGTTGATTATGTTTATGCTTTGTTTTCAGTGAAATTGTGAATTAGATGGTGTGTGTGGCGACATCACCAACAGCTAAACGGATCTGTCGCCTCAGTACATATGGTCAGTTCTCTCGTCAAGTATAACTGAAAGTGCTTTAATAACCTTCTTATACCAAACCTGATTTCCTGAATCTGCAATTACAAACACTAAGATGACCATCAATGCCATATCAACTCGTGCTTTTTACTCTGACATCCCGCACTGCCTGCTTACGTGGGCAGGTCTGAATTTTGTTTGTCATCTGTCTGTTTTCATTTTCCATCTTAGCTCTACCTGGAGCCAAATACAAATGTCACCAGCCATGTTCATTCACTTTTTCTAGTTACTTTTCAATGGCCAATAATTTTTCATTGAATTGTTTACATTTCGTTATCGAGTACAATGGTATCTTCGGTCACTATGCTCTCTTTCTCCTCTCTCTTACTCTCTTTCTCATTCCCTTGTTCCAATGCTCTAGATGGGTTTTAATGGATGTTAGCCTCTGTGGTCTTTTTTTTCCTGTGCATTTATCTGTATCAGAACTACACTCGTATAAAGAGTATGGCTTAGTCATTAAAATGTTGGATTTTACGTTGAATTAATACCTTGCTTAAAGAAGAAAAAATAAAACATACTGGAGAAAAATGGTCAGGAAATTGTTGCATATTATGTCTTCAGAAAGAAGAGAAAATGTTTAGTGTAATTATAGTGAAATGGTAATTTTATGCATTTTTTTTATTTATGGTCTTATTTTGTCATGTTTATAATGAATTGTCCCTGTTTCAAATGGTATGTTACATGAATTTGACTCTGAAACTATGCTACACATAGTTCTATAGTGAAGGTCTCTTGTACATACACTGAATTATTAAAAAGCATAATACTAGACCTTTATGTTGTAGCATGGTTATTGTATGACTAAAAGAAAAAAAAAATTATTTGCTGGTGTAAAATAAATGTTTATGAACATTTGATGTGAATGTAGTCTTCTTAAAATAAAAACAACAAAATTACTTTTCAGTAAAAAAAAAAAAAACACTATGAAGGTGAAATGAGAACAAGTGAAGTGGAAAAAAGATAAAAATATGATGGATGAGTCAAGTGTGAGAGAATCCCATTCTCTCTATATAGGCTGTATATAAAAATAAAATGAAAAAGGAAAACAATTAAAAAACTATATTTAATAAACTATTTTCATTTTTTTATGTTTAAACCTTTGCTTTAATTTATTCCTTAATATTATGACCATTGCTGTATTTATGAATGAAGCATTTACTCAAAATTGAATATTAGTGCAATGAAAAACCATCATTTATAGGCTACCATATTATATCTTCAGGGGAAAGTACCAGCGACCAAATCCTTTTACAAATATTTAACAAATATATTTCCAGAAAGTGCAACATAAAAATAGTCTATGTTCTGTATTCTTAGGTAAGAGACAAAAAAGTGGTACAGGTTGTTTTAAACACTAAATATTAACCATTAAAAAAAAAAACTAGTTCGAATTATATTCACAGTGCATAGAAGCGAGCGCAGGGCGTGGTGACGTCATATCCGCGCCCCGGAAGCTCAAGCTCGTCGCTGGTTAAACCTAAAGCTTCTTGTGTACGTTGCTGAAGTCAGGGAGGGTCAACTTTCTTTTTTCATCCATCCCAAAATATACGCGGTGACATTTGTTTACACATAGGTAAACGTAATCGAAGATCGTATTTTATCCGAAATGGACTCCTCTGAGCAGGGTAAGTGTCTGTGGGTGAGTTTTCTGTGCTTTGAGCAGGTGCAGCGAAGATGCGTGTCTAGTGGGTGGCGCTAATAAAAAGTGCAAAACAACTCGTATTTAAAGGGTTATAAAGAGAGTGCCCTATAGGAAAGCCATGAGTATTCATGAAAACCTCCATTTAATTATATTTATCAGTTTTAATTGTATTGGATTTAATTGGGTGCACTAAAACTGTCGGCACAGTACATGCCAGGTCTATAATAGATCAGTGCTGGTCGGCCTGACTGCTGAACATGTAGTGTTGACCTAGCTGGAGATACTTAAAACTAGAATTAGATTAAGTACTCTATTTTTAAATAAAAGAAACACAGCTGTAGTTCTTCTTGGCGTCACTGTCTAGATAAGGTCCCTCATGTACAACCCCTGATCCATCTTTTGTTGTTGTTGTTGTCTATAGGCTCTTCAGTGTCATCTACAGATGTAGCCAGTGGAGGGAATCTACCGCCAGGCCTGACAGAAGAGGAGGCAGAAGAGATGCAGGTGGAGCTCACCAAGGTATCACATAGTTCGTCCTCCACCCTGTACCCCGACAGTTAACCTTCTCACACTCATGGCCATACACAGGGTTTTTGCTTTTTTTGGGGTGTTCAGGCCCTCATCTACATATGTGTGTTTTAAGACATCTGGAAGGCAAAGATTAAATAACAATATCTATAAAACAGTGTCTTTTACTTTTTTGTCTGTTTCGGTGAAAAAAAGTGAACACATGGTGATGAAAAATAGTATTTGGATTTAAAATGACGAAATTTGAATAGGTAAATGATAACAGAATGATAATAGATTTTTGTATTTTTAAGGTGAACTATGCCTTTAAATTTTGAGCACAGACCAGCCATAAACATTACAATATAGAAAGGTTGCAGACACATAGGGGTTTCTTATTAATAAAATAAATTTAATGGAATGAAGGAGACGTATAAAGAAAAATAGTAATTATTGTAATGCATTTGATCTATTTGCGAATATTTTTTATTTAATAGTCTGAATGACTCTGCTAACCACAGCTTAAAAACACACTTGTCAAAGCCACAGGTTTTTACCATGTTCTAGTGTAGGTCTGAGGATGAAATTTGAATTTACTAAAAGACTATCAGGAAAGTGTAACCAAGTTATTTTCATTTGCAATATGCACTTTCATTCTTAATTGTAATGTGCTGAAAATAGCTCTGGTTGAATTGTTTGCATCCCTGAATATTAACAATTTGTATCTTAGCACAGTTGTGAAATATAAATTGCTAAGCAACTTACTTGCATCTCACCTTTTAACCATTAAAACTGAACTCTTTTGCTAGAATTCAGCTTAAAGGTAAAAGTCATTTTTTTCTTAGTGTTGCATAATTTATTTGCACCACCAAAGTAAAGTTTTTATTATGTAATTATTTCACTAAACTTTTTATTGTACAAAATACAGAGGTCCGGGCGGGGACAGCAAAGATGGGTTTGGCCTTGCTCACACTTAGAGAAAAACTTGCTGCCAAGATTATATGAAATGTCGTGTTGGTCTTAAAGTCAGATGAGGTGTGGAAGGTATGTGCTAATTGTACTGACGCCTTACTTGGTTAGTTGACCCAAAACTTAAAATGATGTCATTGTTTATTCACCCTTATTTTGTTTCAAAGCCTGTGGAACACAATACGAGATGATTTGAGCTTGACAGCCACTGGCCATTCTCTGCTTTTGTGAATAGAAAAGGCTTTGGATATTCGGAACAATATGAAAAGATGAAAAATTAGTTTTTATATGAAATGTATTCATGTTTTGGATTTGAAAATATTTTTGATGTTTCTTTCTGACGTCTAAAAAATATGATTTAAAACATAAAATGTAGTGATGCAGACAAATTTTGGCAAGCAAAAATATTTTTTTCTCTTTTGGACAAAATAGATTTGGAGGGCTGAAATTACTGACCCAAACAGTGACATTTAATTAGTGCTTCTCTGACTGTTTTGGCATCTGTGGACGCCCTTCATTGTGACTAAAAATGGTGCTAGAGTAGCAATAGCTAAAAGTTGTTTGGCTGAAATATCTTTGATGCTGAAGAACTTTACTATGAGAGGTTTAATTTATCACATGAGAGCACAACAACCTGAACAGCATACTGTGTTCAATTAACCAATTACTAAAACTCTGTTTTAGTTTTCAGGTCAATGAAAAATTTTGGTTTCTATTAAAAAAAATGTATTTCGGTGCATCACTGATAAAAAAAA